TTTTCATCAAACCGCCAGGTTCATCCGTCTGAGTGTCCGACTGATCCCCTTCACCTCGGCCACAGCGCACCCTGGAAACTTTGAGGTTGTTTTATCGAGCAGCCGCACAGTTTTTGGTCTGATGAGCGTGATCGAGGACCGAGCTGGGATCCAGACCTCGAGCCTGGAGGTTTTCAGTAGCCGAGTGCCAACAGAGGAGGCCCGCCTGCCCCCGGAGAGCACGCTGGAGGAGTGCGGCTTCAAAGGAGGGCCAGAGGAGAGTCCTCCAGAGGTCACCGTGTATTATGACTACAGACTGCCATTTACAGACTGTCCCATCCTCAACTACGACCGCTACATTAGGTCGAATCAGGACTCTGCATCGAGTCGGGGTCTGTGAATTACAAAGCTGTTTTGAGGTACCTACACCTACTGTAGACACCAGTTTTGTTATACGCCTGAGTTTCAATATAACAACAACAAAGGTGACTTCGAACAGCACCCAATGTCACACATAGTTGAGGTCAGAAGTAAACACACCCTAACCATACACATGAATGTTGTGTTCATTCTGGGCTTTCAGGGATCTTCTTTGCAGCTGGCTCAACAGACATCTTTAATGACTTTAATGAAACAAACATTTGGTGCACATGTTTAATATGGATTTTCCTAATCCACACAGGCTCAAATATACAGCATACACTCACTTTAATCTTTAAATAAGTGGCTGCTGAGTTTTCTACAATATATTATCCTGACAAGTCCAAAGGCTATTAACTTCTCATTGGGGTCATGATTGACTTCAGCTGGTAGTTCCTCTTTGCCAGGATAAAAATGATTTCTTTGACAACATTCATTGGATTGACAAATACTCAGAACAATGGGAAAGTCAAGGAGCTCAGAGAAGATCTAAGGGGAGTTGTAGATTTACCTAAGAACAAGGTCTGTGAATGAGTCATCACTTTACCAAGGTCTGGAATGGTAAAATGGTAAATGGCCTGTATTTGTATAGCGCTTTACTAGTCCCTAAGGACCCCAAAGCGCTTTACACAACCAGTCATCCACCCATTCACACACTGGTGATGGTAAGCTACATTGTAGCCACCCTGGGGCGCACTGACAGAGGAATAAGAAAAGTTGTTAGGATGTTGTCAGGAACAACCAAGGAACCAGGACTCAAGACACTGCTGTAAAACCAGCTTTACATAGTGAAAGCAAGTCTTACATCACCACGGACTGAGAGTGTGCTCACCAAGAAAGAAGAAAATCCAGAAAAACCCTTTAAGCTTGAAATTTGCAGCTGCAAATGCAATAACAGGCCTTTAAACCTAAGAACACCGTCCCAACTGTCAAGCATAGCGGTGGTAGCGTTACGCTCTGGGGCTGTTTCGCTGCCAGTTGTAATCACGCAAGAGATATCAACAACAGCTAGACAGTTTAAACTTGGACACAGTTGGGATCCAAGAAGACAGGATCCCAAACATAAAACAAGCTAATATTGAGCTTCTGGAATGGCCTTCCCAAAGCCCCGACCTCACCCCTATAGAAACTGTGTGGACTATGTTTAAAAATCAGGTCTGCAACAGCAAACCAACCAATTTATATCATCTCTGTCAATTCTGCCACGTAGAGTAGACACATATCCACCCAGAAGTATGACAGAAGGTTGTTAATGGCAACCAGAACGGGTATATATATTTGAACCTGCGTGGATTAGAGAAAATCCCAAATTAATTCAAACTCATTAACCAAGTTCTTGTATTTGTTTTAGTCATTAAATATGTATTTCTCCCTGGTAAAAGAACACCTTGAAGAAATCATTAAAAGCCCCAAATTACCACAACATTAATGCCCATGATGACCTCGGACAGCTAGCTGGATAACCACCCCCATGTTGGCAGTTAGTAAAGTAAATATTAGCTTTACAGCTTTACTGATAGATACAACAGTAGTTTTATTAAACATAATTTAGTACCATGAATCAAGTAATTTGGTAAGTCGGACAACCAATTTTAAAAGATGTTTTCTGCTGCTCGTAAAATATAAAAATATGCAGGGATGTCTTCAGTATCCCTTTTTTGTTTGCTAGTGTTAATAAACATGGCGATAGATGCCTCATGACCTCACTCAGGTCTTCCCATTTTATTATTGAAAAGAACTGAACTCCGCACAAACTAAATTAAGAAATAAAAATTAAAACAAAGCATAAATGAAAGCTAATGAGCGCCTCGAGTGAACCCTCAGCAACATTTAAAGGAGCATTTATGTAAGAAAGCTGCAGGGAGCGCCTCACTCAGCACCTCGCGGTCAGCTCATGCTTTAATTACACCCTCGGGGATGCAGTTTAAGCCGGCATATGCAAATCTTCGCACCAGGTCAGAGTGGCGCTTTTCCCTGCAGGGCCTCGTTGGCTGAACGCTGCCATGCTGGAGTCAGTGGAAAGTGCCTGGCTGGTGGAAACCGCAGAGTCGCTATAAACAGTGGCCACCAAAGCGTGCCATGCAGCTACCACACCCCACAGCTTCCCTCCTCCTCCTCCTACTGCTGCTGCTGCTCCACCCAGCCCAGCTTTAACATCCCAGCTTCACCCCCAAAGCCGCCTCCTCCTGTTTACTAACACAGGCCCGATTTAAGGAAACAGACCGTAAAATGAGGCAGGTTTTCCAAGTCAAAATAATATTTATTCCACAGGCTCAAAAATACTGCGCAGTATAAATATTACAAAACAGATGAAAAACAAAGACAGACGTCAGGTGATCGAGCTCTGCGGCAGTTTTTTTTTTTATACATCAGAAGATGTTTTATGCTTTCATTTATTAAACCAGCTGAACACGTTAATGCTGAGCAGAACAAAGTCGGGTTTATGTTTCCTATAATAAACGGAGTTCTTCCAGAGGAGTTTGGAGAAGTTCTGGAATTTAAATGTCTCATTTTTATTTTTGGCCCGAGCTCTGCGGTCTGGAGGGAAACTAAACTGTAATTAGAGCCACATTAATGAGGCAATTAACCCAATGCCTCATAAAATGTGTACTGTCATGTTCCCAAAAGCTTTTTAACTTTTAAGTTGCTTTCTCATATGAAGTTTAGTGCTTTTATTTGTTTTCCAAGTTTAACACAGCAGGAAGAAATCTGCTTCAAACTACCAGGAATACTCTGCATGGTTTAGGCCACAATCCGACATCTATGGTGCCAAAATCCCAATAAACTATCCCAGTAAGAAGCTGGGACAAACAGGGCGTTTGTTAGGAAAATGTGTGAGGCTAATCTGCTAATGAGTTAATTGTGTGGTGACGTAGAAAATAAGACAACATGAACCATGTTTGGTATTTAACATTAAAGTAGCTGCGTTTCTCTTTTCTTTGTGCTAATTTCCTTCATATTTTCAAGGCTGGACTTAGCGTGGGCGCCTCAGACGCCTCCCCTTCTGCAGAGCTTTCTTCTGAAAAACTGATCTATCAAAATGTGGGTCACGCATCAGTAAGTGGAATAGGTGTACAACATCACCCTGACCTCTGACCTCTGTGTAGGCAGGCTACAGATGGCTCTGTAGCGTGTAAACAGCTTTTTATTTAAGTAAACAAATGAAAATATTCTTTAGGTTTGGACTCATGAGGTTTTTTTTATTGTTTTATAGAAAGATCAATGAAGCAAATAACCTGTAGAATAATTGATAATAAAGAGGATCAGGCTTCATTGTGGTTATGATTACCAATAACTTATTTTTCTGTTTCTCTGGATTGCAGCAAAACTTCCAAGCAGCGATTCTCAAACTTTTTCTCTTGACATGCCTCACAAAGACTCACAACCTACATATTTTTATCAGGTAATACAAAATAAAAAAGTAGCTCTAAAAATTAATCAAGTTTTTTTAATTGGTTGTCCACACGTTAACAAACAAGGGCAAAAAGATAAAGAAAATAAGCTGTGGAATAACTGATAAATATAACCCGCAGTGCTAGTTGTGATCCTCTGACTTCGTCTTAATTTAACTTCTTAACTTCCTGGTGAACCACTTTGGCTTAGTCTAAACCAGAAGAAGTTACCGATCTCTCCGTATATGCCCAACAGGTCAAAGATGCAACGTAACAATACCCTAAAAAAGATCCTCATGGTTAATCCCAACTCCAGCCACTTGGTTTCAGTGCCTAAACCTAACCTGCAATTTAACTTGAAGCTGACCCAGCAGATTTTTTCCTAACCCTGGCCACTTGTTTTATGTGTCTGACCCAAACTGCCTTTGGTTTGAGGATATCTGTTGCTGTTTCTCATTTTACCCTGAAGTGGATCTCCTCCATGTCATCCGCTTCCTCTGGACCTACTTTCAAGGCTTCTTGTTTTCTTTAACGAAGCTCTAAACAGCTCAAATCACTCAAAGTCAGCGGACTGACACGGGAAGAGTCAACAAGATATTTGAATTTTACTAAACCTCACTCAGCACGGTATTTCAGAAACCCTTTACCCCAGTGAAATTTTCCCATCCTTCTGGAGGATCCTGAGGCATCATCAGGCCTGAAGAAATAGATCATCTCTTCAAGGAACTCTTAGTCTACTCCACAATCTTCTCCCAGTTGGGTTTACCTGGAAAACCTCCAAAGGGTGGCCTCAAGGAGGCCTGATCAAATGTTTGCACCGCCACAGCTACTTATGACATAAAGTAGTGGCTCTACTTTGAGCCCCTCACCACATGTTTCAGACTGAGCCAACCTAAGGAGGAAGTGCATTTCTTCTTCTGAGGGGTCACTACCCACAACTCGTAGACATAAATGAGGGTTGGAAAATGGCTGGTCAATGAAAACGTCATCATTAGAGTCGGTTTTCTCTTAATCATGATGCTTCCTACACAACATGCTGATCCACTTTCCTATAATCCGTAACATTAAAGCTTCCTCGCAATAACTCTCCCTGAATATGTGTTTGACATAGTTTGAGAACCGCTGCTTTAAAGCACGAGTTAGTGTTTAACCTGGAAACATAATCTGCTCGGGGGAAATCTGCCTGCAAGTGAAAGAAACCAAACACACCTTTACCTGCTTTTATGTGTGTGTTTGTGTGTGAGGAAAAATGAGTAACACGCTACAAGTGCTAATTAAATTTTACTTTTAAACGACTGATAATATTTTCTGGTGTTACAGCAGCAGACTGATGTTGAATCTATAGAAGGAAGAACCTGAAACAGCAGAAAACTGAGGGTTAATGTTCAGTCGTTCCTGCGATGAAACAAACGGTGCAACACAAAGACAATTTTCCTTGTTTTGGAAACTTATCTGGATCTGAGACATGCCCACAGGCAGTTACCTCTCGCTAACAAAGTAAACAACTGGGTAACATATTTTGGTTTTGGAGTGTAACATATAAAGCTTCACAGTTTAAATAGATAGAATTTAAAAATGAATTTGGAAATAGCTCCAGTTGAAGCCAGACGTGAGGGATGACGGAGCGGCTTGGCGGCGCTCTTCGGGGGCTGGTTTACCCCTTTCACTGTTTTTGAGTTTGTTTTTAGAAGCTGGTAAAGAAAAAAAGAGCTTTTAAAACTTGTCTTCCCCATCTGCCTGCCAGCAAAGCGCCTACAGTCTGAGTTCAGTTTGATTGTCTCCATCCCACAATGAGTCACAAACAAAAAGGAGGAAGTTTGTGTTCCTTTGGTTGGGGGGGAATCCATCCTGTGAGAAATACTGACTTTGGGATGAAGTTCACGCCCTCCGGTATTCCCAAATTGCACTTTATCGTCCACTAACGCTCTTCCTTCAGCACGCTGCCAAAGTGG